TTTGGGATCCCCACACACACACACACTTGTAATTTGATAATCATGGTTACAAACTGCTGATGGTAATAACGATGCTGCGATGTGACTTTTGGGACCCCGTAATTATGCCAAACAAAGCATGATACACAGAACAGAGGATGTGATCCGTAAGGTTTGAGGTTTCTGCCCCCGCCCGCAGCATGAAATGATCTGCAGGTGAAAAAAGATATGAGTCCAGGCTCCACCAGCTAGCCGCAAGCAGATCCGTGAGCGAGCACCGGTACGCTTGAGTGGGGAGGGTGAGGGAGCTTTGTTGGGCATGGCTCCCACCCTCGCCCCAAGTTCACAGGGCGAAACACAAGAAGGGAGTGACCATGTCTGACAGAAGGGGATGTAGATGCAGGTTCCTATGGGCCAGCCACCAGACTCAAGAAGAAGAAGAAGCATTTGCACCTCATGACCCATCACAGCAGACATGACATGCGCATATGACTTGCGATCACTGGGAGAAGAGGATAAAAAAGGTGGGACCAGAAAGATGGAGGTAACCTTCCTGCACTTGCACTAGTCGCCACTGTAGTCGATAGACCTACTCGTACTGCAAAACAGAAAGAACGTGGCACCCTGTGCACATGCCACACTACACGTTGCCAACAACTGCCAAATGACTGTATTGGAGTAGCGCGCAGAGCTGATCGGGGTGTATTCAGCAAGCCTTGCAAAGCAGCTGATCGGCATACTCACCGACCACCCCCATCAGCATGGCGCGATGACGGAAAGCCATGTTGAATGAATGGTGAACACACTTGGAACAGGCTTTCAAGTTGATCATCATGGTGATTTGATTTGCACGGCAAACATCTATCGGAACTGCAAAAATCAGGATGATGATGTTGATGATACTGATGGCAACGATGATGTGCTGGAGCTTCTTGTTACCGCGTACGCCAAACACAAAGAATGATATACAAAACAGAAGAGGGGATCCGTATACAGGGTGAGGTGCCTGCCCTTCTGCTTCAGACATCGGGAATGGTGCAGCATCACACGAGACAAAGGTGAAAATGATATGGAGCCCGAGCGAGCATCGCCGGTACGTGTGCCTGGCGACTCCCCAGCCCCGCCCCAAGTCCTCTCCACAAAGTAGACGAAGGGAGTGCCCCCCGGTGTCCATGAACGAGAACAGCACGCGCGCATACACGAGCGAACAAAAAACATTAGATTGCCAGCTTGAGGTTTCCAAGACTTCCGATGCCACCGAATCGAATCAACCTAAGTGATCTTTAATGTTCGCCCAATACAGCAGCAGGCCTCAAGTGAGGTGCTCATTCCCGGGCAGACGATGCGAATCACATCACGCATGCAAAAACAAACCATTCACTTCTCAATTCGCTCAATTCTTCGCAGTGGCATTCCGGAGTCATGGGGGGGGGGGGGCTAGTTGATGTTTGGCACAGCGGCCTGATGCATGACTGGAGCTTCGTTCCACTCGGCCGAGTCATACATCCCTGGTGCCCCTGCTGTTGGAAATGTCACTCGTCCCTCGCAAACTCAACCATGCAACACTCGGTCATGACGTACTTGGAACGTAGGTGCTGGTCGTGAATTTTTAGCGGTGCGCGCACAGACAAGCAAGAAAAGACTGCGAAGCTGCTGCCCAAACTTGGTTCAAAGAGTCGCATACAGCATAGGCAGTAGAAAGCGGGGAGAGGCTGGCGGTGTGGCTTCGGTGCAAACTCTGTACGACATCCGCTGGCACCCGCGAAAGCTGCAGGCCGAAAGTCTAAAGACCAGCGATCGGCGGAAGATGCTCCGACCATGAGCAAAAAAGAAGTGCTGATCGTCGGTTGAACGAGAGTCGACCCGCCCCACCTGCTGTCGAAACCGGACACAGTCTACGGCACGCCCTCTCGGACGACCCGAACATGGCTAGCAAGCGCACTTAAATTGTGGAGGCAAAGTAGAAGGACAAGCCCTTCACGACATATTCAAGGTCTATAAGGTCGGCCTTCAAAAACGCAACCGGCAGAGAAGCTGAACTGACAAAGGTGGACCAAAAGGCATAAGTTGGCTTGCTCGGCCTGCCTTCCAGAAAGTCGTTTCGGCAGCAAGAGAACGCGGGGCAGCTCTTTCTCGTGCAGGGGATCACCAGCCAAAGTCAGCTGACGAAGGGCACCCGAAACGTGAACGCGCAAGGAGCAAAGTGTAAACACCGAAATGAGAACCAAAGACCGTGGTTTTTGACCCAAACTGAAGTCGCTGGAGTTCGAATCAGGAGAAATTGATGAGCCAAGGACCTCATTAGTCATTGGTGCATACATGTACACCGAAAGTAGACGCTGCAAATCAAGCGCTACAGTTCAAAAGATAAGTTTGGATTGAGAGAATCCAACAAAACTGCGACAGCTTGCGAACATGAATTTCGGAAGAGAGACACGACTGCACGGCTAAGTGACATGTGTGCACAAGACAGCCCCAGCGTACATGCGCACCAACACAACAGAGCAACATGTCTGCACATGAGCTGCCCGCATTAAACAGCCAAGTGGCATGCCCAACGTTCTTCTCAAAGTGATGGCTCGTTAAACGAACCCGAAAGTAGAAAGATGGTGATGCAAAGTTCATACGTTCAAAGTGCCAGGGACCTATTGACGTCTTACCATTCCTTGTGGATACAAGTTCTTGAACATGGAGACACTCTCTGGAGCTCTCTGGGCGGGCCAGAGACAGAACGGTGGCACCGAAAACGGACGGTGAAAATCGGCTCGTGGAGCGGCGGGGGGCACAACGCCGGCCCGAAGCACAACTGCCCATAAAAGCTGAAGTCAACGACTCTTTTCAACATCCAACATCAGCAGAAACCGTGCTTGCAAGGTTACAGCAAGCATTCGCATTGGCAAACATGCAAGATCAACCGGACGTGGCATTCATCTCAGTTTCTTGTGGTTCCCGTGCCTATTTGTCCAGGTCCGTGCATAAAGCTGAGCACGATACTTGAGACTTGAGACATACCAAAGTTTGGCTTCTCTGCGTCTCCACGGAATTTGCTCGCATCTTCACGAACCAACAAGAGCCAAGAAACAAATAACCACATAACAATCAAACAGTAAAGAGCACACACACACACATGCACACACACACACAGGCGTCCTTTTTGCTGTCTCTCTCTCTCTCTCGCTCTCTCTCGCTCGCTGGCTCGCTCATTCCCTCCCTCTCTCCGAACATGCATCCGACGCTGTAGCCTAGTGCCTGCATCCTTTCGTATCGCAAGTCTCAGAGAGCTGTCCATCACATACCGTGTGTTACCTGGATCGCATGAAGCTACGTCTCTCTCCGTGCCAGGATAGGGAATTTGCCATCAAGCTTCAGCGGAGCCGCTTCTGCATTAGTTTCCGCACAAGCTTGTGGCATGTGCATGAAGCTGAGACAGATGGGCCCTTTGTGCAGCTAAGGTGGCGGAAGCAGTTTCGAAGGCGGTAACTTTGGTAATAGTGGTGGCAAGTCGTTTGGTTCAGGACTGATGCTGAGCAAATCGTCGGCGCATGTTTCCACATCTCCATGCAAGACTTGTCATGCCAGCGCATTGCACCAGGAGGGATGGTGGGGTTCGGCAATCCGAATTTTGACAATGCCCCTAAAGACGAGAAGGATAGCGCCGGCACCTTGAAATGAGGTCCTTGCGGAACGTGAGCATGTACAATTAGACTTCAGAGACTCGAGCTAAGGTCTTCAACAAAGCCATGTCCAGCACGATGTCTGCAGTTTCCTACCTGCAATCCAAAGTTACCGGAGCCCCGAACTCAACCCCGTCGTTCCATTCTTCATCTGACAGCACTTACAGACCGCCACCAGTAGGTGGGGGCTTTGGGAGCAGCCAGGGAGGGGGCTGCGGTGGAGGCTGCAGTGGAGGCTATGGTGGCGGCTATGGTGGTGGCTGCGGAAGTGGTGGGGGGAACTATAGCAGCCCCAGCTACGCAGGCGGAGGTGGCTTTAATAGCAACAGCCACCATGCAAACCAGGGCCGCCGTTGGGGTCATCATCCACCTCGAGAGGAACCAAAGGAGGAGGAGCAACCGGAGCCTGTACGAGAAGAGCCTCCAAAGCCACCGGCGCCGATGGTGGACCTTTTGGACATGGATGAGGTCTGATGCTCGGTATTGCCGGCGCTTCACTTCTCCGCTGCAGTGCACATCCGAGGCTGCCGCACCTCAGGCTGCAGCTGTCAGCTCCCTCTTAGAAGACGAGGCTCGGAGTCTTTCCCGCATCTCGAGTCTTTCCCGGGTCGATCTCCTACCACGCAGGCACCTGCCAGACAACCAGCAGCCTCTGGATCTCAGGACACACGTTCCAACCACACAACAGCCAATCGCAGTGCCCATATATCGGTACATACAAGGGGCCGAAAGCTGGGTGAATCTGCCGCAAAGCTTTGCCAGCCTAGGTGAAAGGAACCGTGCCTCGAGGTTCGGAACCACTGAGGCCAAGCCTTCCCCTCCGATGTCCCATTCATAGATGCTGTGGTTGAGGCTTGGATTTAGCTGTTACGCTGCGCAAGGATCTCCTGGGTGGCGAGCTCCTGGGGATGGAGGGCCCTTCTGCCGACGGTGCCTAGAATTCGGTTTTTCTCTGTTCTCCATATGTGGCTTTAAACGGCCGAAAGCTCGATCTTTGCCTGCAGGTGCTCCCTCGTTGCAGCCTGTCTCTGAGATGCAGGCCCCAGATGCCTCACGCTGTGAATTCAGTCTTCTGGTGGCAGAATGTAGCGGCCAGACCGAAGTTGGAACGCGTGCAGGGTGGCTTGTTCTCCGGCTTGGAGGTTTCCGGTACGGGCGGGCCTGCCCCCCTTGCTGGTGCAGGCACTGCGTAGAACTCCGGTCGACTGACTGTTGCTGTTGCGTTCTGGCAGGTGCCGCAACAGGCAGCACAGCAGCTTGTGGGGGAGGTGGGCTCAGCATCATGGGAGGCGGAGCTGCAGCCGGTCCAATGGGTGCCTGCTCCGCAGCAGCACAGCCACCTGGCAATGCCGGTATGTTAGGTGGTGGCATGATGGGTGGTGGCTCTATGCCGAGCACGTCGATGGGCGGGATGATGCCAGGTGCCGGCCAACAAATGCCCTGCATGGGCAGCTGTGGGATGAATGCGCCCATGGGTGGGCCGATGGGCGGCCCCATGGGTGGACCGATGGCACCTAGCATGGGTTGTGGCATGGCAGGTTGCAACGCCATGGGCATGTGTGGCGGCTGCAACATGATGGGACCGGGCCCCATGGGTTGTGGCCCCATGGGTTGCGGCATGCCAGGTTGTGGTCCTATGGCAGGACAGGGCATGGGTATAAATCCCATGCAGGGTGGTATGCAGCAGATGCCGCCACAGATGCAGCAGCAAATGCAGCAGATGCAGCCACAAATGGCGCAACAGCAGATGCAGCATCAAGCTTACATGCCACCCTCTGGTGCACAAGCACCGTACCAAAACGGTAGCGCACCCATGTCAGGGATGAGTCTTGGCCAGATGTCCAGCCCTGCTGGAGGGGGGAGCTCTGCCTTCAGCTTCGTTGGCGGTGGCAGTAGCTCGTCACGGATTAAGCACGCCTGGGCAAGTCATTGCAACCTAGCCGCCAGCACCCGCAAATCTATGAACAGGGGCTGTGATTTGGAATGCACGAGATTGGCATAAGCCCAGTAAGCCCACGAACTCGCTCAGCCAACTCAGGTCCGGCAATGGCACCGGTGTCGCAGGCACCGGCAAACGACCTAGCCTTCAGCTTCGTCGCTGACGAGCCACATGTCCGCAAATCGACAAGTCTCAGTGACAGACGGCAAAGATGTGTGCAGTGCGTTGCAACACATTTTCATCTGGTGTTCAGCACACTCCAGGATGAAAGGCGCAGGAGCCGTGAGTTGATGACTTTGTGTGACTGCCGCCAAATGTGCAGAAGGCATCACAGTGTTAACACTTGGGGACTCCGTCGCAGGTCTTCAAGAGACCAGCTTCAGGAACGGACCATGCTCATTCACTGGCAGACTACTCATCTGATGTCGCCAAATGCTGTTGCCCTCGAGCTCAGCGCCAGCTATCAGACATGCCTAGACTAGAGAAATCAGAGCCGTGATCTGCCAGATGTCTCAACCAGATACAAATCTCACTGAACGTATCTTTTGCACGTTGGCTGTGCTGATTCCATCGCAGCACATTCGGAGAGCAGATTTACCAGGGCTGCAGAGCCATAAGAACAGATAGCCGCACCATGCATCTGCCGCCGCCTCTTTACACTGCAGCAAAGATCGACAAGACTCATGTGCAGCGAAGATTCGCGAATTGGCGAGATGTTTGCAGAAAGGTCTTAGCAAATCTCCTGCACCTCGATTTTCGATGCCACGACGGCATATTATGTACATGTTTTGCCGGCAGCAAGAGCCAAGCGGCAAAACGGACAACTTGAGATTGTGTGCGCTCGCGTGCTTTGCATCTCCGAGTGCTTTCACGGGTGCATAGGAAGCCGTACCGCAGCGTAGGCCTAGCATGCCTGTCTTTTTATCTTTCTTGTTTCTTCTCGTGCCTTCTCCCTTCACCCCTCCCCCTCCCTCGCTCTCTCCGTTCCGTTTCGCGGTGTCCCTCTGTCTCTGCCTGTCTCCTCCCCCACTCCATCACTCACCTCTGTCTCGCATGCTATGCATGTGTTTGTGTGACGGTACTTTCTGAACTGACTGCTGCAACTCGAAAGTGCAAGGCCAGCAGCACGATGCACACCGCTGGATGCAATGCAGCCACTGGCAGAGATCGAGAGTTTCAGGGCATATGTATCAGCATCGCAAAACTTTGCACGCGACGAGCCAAGGCCCCACTCCTCCCCGCCATTGCCATCAGTTGCTGCCAGTCGCTGTGACGCTTTGGCCTCAGGCATTTGGCCCTACATGTCCGTGTAGTTATGGCATATCGGATTGCGGAGTCGAGCCGCTGAAGTTCTGTAAGGTGAAAATGCAGATGCCAGAGAGGGCCACGCTGGCTGCAGCAGCGCAGCAGTCATCGTGCCATTTGCACACTCCGCCAAGGACAATGCATGTGTGAGACAGCCGACGGCTACGAGGTACTCGGACACGCTCAAGTCCCTCGTCGTGGAGAAGGACTCCACGGCAAGCTTGCCTAATGCGCAACCGCACATTGCCATGGCAGAGCCTCTGGCGGTGTCAGGTGTCATGAAAGCTAGCCCTGTGGAGCTTGCGGGAGTTGTTGTTTACCAAGTCAGTTTCGTAAAACTACCTGGTCCAAAACGAAGGCTCGCGTAACACTAGTTAAGGTGGCAGGAGTGGGGCCACCCAGGTGGCGGCATCATCGTATACGGTGGGGTTCAGGATTATCGTGGGCTGTTGGCATGTTCGGCCCGGCGCACATGCCAACCAGCTTTGTGCTGCCTTTGAGATTCGCCACAAAGAGGCAGCAAGCTGGTTGGCATGTGGCGGCCCGACCACGCCAATACACCCAGCAAACTTCTGACTTGTGTATACTTCCGCCAAGCTCGAGCGATTCGCAGTGCTGTCCTGCAATAGATTCGCTTGGTGAGTCGCCCAACCCTTTCGTGTGCGCTTCCCCTAGGACCTAGCTTTCCTTCCCCTCTTCTCAAGCCTTCCCAGGATCGTTCAGATGCCGAGTTTGTGCAGGGAGCCTGGCCAGGGGCTGCAAGGCTTAGCATGATTGCGAGAGTACAGAGCCAGAAGAAATGGATGATAGTCAGCGATCGAGGCCGCTGAGCAAAAGCCAGTAGTCGTAGCTGAAACTGTTCCGGTTTCATGAGATGCGAAATGATGCGAGTGATGCGAGGCTCGAGCTCCTGGAGTCTGCGGGCTGCAATGCGGAGGCAGCAACCCTCTCACGACTTTGCCACGACTAAGAGCTTAGACTCATGAACTGGTATGACATTTCACAGCATTCTTGGCCAAGGGGCTGCCCGTTGAAGAGCATGTCCCCCAGCGTTTCAGAAGATAAGGGCGACAACTGTTGACGAAAACCAGCCTATGCTTGTTGTCACCGAAGGCGGCGGCTCGAATTGAAGCCAGATCTGGAAGGCCGGCTGAGGGAACGCCAGCGACATGTTTATCCCCCACGAATTTCGCAAAAGCCCCCCGTACGTTTGCGAACTCGAATGGACACGTCCGGACGGGGCCGCATGAGACTCAAGCCGATCTGCTGTTCAGCGCAATAGAACCCGCACATGGAGCCCTGCATGCCCTGGCCGGCTGCCTCCATCTTGGTTCTCCCTCTCTTCCTGGTTGGCGTGGTGACGGTTGGGGTCGTGCCTCCGACCGATGTTGTGTCTGCGTAGCCCTGAGAGTCGCTGGTGCCCAAAAGCCGCACGGAGCATCCTGCAGAATATCCACTGATGCGTGCTGGAGTCGTGATGTCGTTGCCAGCACCGGTCCATGTCCCCAGGTTGGGAGGTTGCCCCGTTTGTTGACCTTACCTCGTTCGTCGTGCCATGTCATGCTTGCCACACTGTCACCGACATTGTCATCAGCAGCATCGTATGCTGGTGGCAGCAGTGCTGCTGATACCTGCCGCTGTCGCCATTGCAGAAAGTGTTGGCATGAACGATGGACGTGCGGGGGACGGTGGCAGTGACAGTTGCTTGCGTTCAGCCTTATCGGCCTCCCGTTGTTTGCAACACGTATGAAGCACCGTTTGGTTTACGATCATGACAGGTTGCCCTGGAGGTCGCATGGCAACTCGAGTGTCCAACTTAATCTTCTGGGAGCTCTTGATATCAGTATGGGTTTCAAAGGCACGGGCGAGTTTGGAGCATCAGCATGGCCTATATGACCCCCCGCTGCGAGGTGGGAAGGCATTGGCAAAGCCGTCTTTTCGAAGCATGGCTTCCGAACCCACAGCAGCCCGAAGCCCAGGCGACAGCTTGCTGCAGAGATTTCGGCATGAATACAGGCTATGCTTCTGATGCGAGCGTCATGTTCGACTTAAAGCCAAGGCGAGCTTGCATATCGAGGAGCGCGCTGCAGGCCATAGCAGGGTCGTTCTTGAGGAAGGTCTGTGACGAACTTGACCGTCGTTTGTGAGATCTCTTGGTCAAGAAGTGGTGGAGATGCTTTGACCACAGTGGTTGGTGCGCAGCACTTCATGTTGCTGCACCATGTCCGTAACTGCTTTGCGCTTCCCCAGGTCACCATACTGGCAGAAGGCTCAAACCCATTGCATTGAGCCCGGCATCCGCAAGCAGACATGTGGGGGCGACTTGTGGTTGCTGTGGCCGTTGCTGGCCGAGGCTCGTGGATGCCATTCCGCTTCACCGAGGCCACCCGTCTCCGTACTGCAGCCATGCAGATCTGCACGACTTATCGCTGTTACTCATAGGCAGCTCGACCTCCCTGAAACCGGGAGCGGAGATCACCTTCAGATACGAGATGCATGTTTGGGCCTGGGCTTCCTTGTAGACCAGAACCTATACGAGCCAGAGAGCCTTTAACGAAAAGTAGGCCCTAATAGAGGGCACGCAGACATATGGCCAAGGTGTTGCTGCGGTTGCGCTTCGCAGCGCAGACCCTGGTCGATCTCCGCAGTTCTTGGGTCGACTTCTGGACACTACTGGATCACAGCCCAGTTGGACGTATATTGAAAGTCATCGAAGCAGAAAAGGTGGTTGAGAATTGGCTGCCCCTGGCTCCGCAGCGGAAGGCTCAGTTTTGGACCGGATCGCCTTCAAGCCACAAGACCACATGTGTACGCTCGTGACATTGGGCGCATTGGTGTCAATGAGGCAGTTTCCGGCACAAACGGAAGCTCTCAGAGTCCCGAGCCGAGCAAGGGATGCAGCTCCCAGCATGTTCCTCAAAAATCTCGGAAAGGCTCGGGAAGATGGTTCCATGGTTCCGCCAGGCAGACTGGTGCAAAGCCAGCCATTAAGTTAAGCAGCCTGTTCTTGCCTACTGGCATGAGAGGCCGCATGGAAGGAAGCTACGTTGATTCCCACCGCAGCCACTGTTCTTCTCCAAACCATCATGCTAGGACGAGCAGGCCATCACATGCCCGGCTGGCTTGCTCAGAATTCACCGGCTCCACGAAGATGCCAAAGCATTGCAACATTGATGCACGAAACCGCTACACATCCAGAATCCGACAGTGCAAGCAGTGGCAAGAAGCCGCTTGGCTATTCAGCCGCCTGGCCCAAAACACTCTACAAGCAGATGAAGTTTCTTACGGGTCTTTGATTTCTGCATGTGGCAAAGGAGGCCAGTGGACCATGGCCACAACTTCGCTCAGAACAGCTCGCTTACAGGGCCTGCAAGAGGACATCATTTCTCACAACTCCGCGATAAGCACGTGTGGCAAGGAATCGGAATGGAAGGCCGCCATAGGCCAGCTTGTAGCTGTGGAGTTGAGGCAGCTTAAGGCAGACAGGATATCTTTCAATTCTGCCATCGGTGCATGCGGCCAAGCCGGTCACTGGGAAAGCGCTGTTTCTTTGATGGACAAGCTTGGTCGCAGATTACAGGCAAACGTCATCACACTGAATTCCGTTATCAGTGCATGTGCCGAGCCCGGCCAGTGGCAAGCAGCTCTCGTCATCCTTGCACACCTTGAATTTGGACACATACAGGCTGACATCATCTCCCACAATTCGTGCATGAACTCGTGCAGCAAGGCAAGCCAGTGGCAACTGGCCTTAAGCATCCTGCGGGGGCTGCGGGTCGTGGGGCTGCAAGCCAACGTCATCTCCTACGTGTCGGCCATGGATGCATGCGACAGGAGCTTCAAATGGGAAGAAGCTATAGCTCTGCTGGAGGAACTGACCGCGAGCAACCTGAAAGCTGAGACAATGAGTTTTAACTCAAGCATCAGCGCATGTGCGAAGGCACACCAGTGGCAGTTGGCTCTGGAACTAACACGAACACTTGAAGATTCCGGGCTTCGAGCGAATACGATCTCCTTTAACTCTGTGATGAGTGCCGCTTGTGATGCAAGTCTCTGGCAGATGGTTTTGTCCTTCATGCCCATGCTTTCGCAAAGGCAGCTGATGCCTGACATCGTTTCCTACAATTGTTGCATGAACGCATGTGGACGGGCAGTTCAGTGGCAGCTGGCAATACACTTTTTCGCCAACCTCGAGAGGGCAAGGCTCCAAGCGACTGAAATATCCTTCGCTTCGTCTATCAGTGCCTGTGAGTATGGCCTGAAGTGGCAGATGGCTGTTTGTCTGCTTAGTCTCATGGACGTGCGGCGGGTTTTAACAAACTTGGTCGTGCTAAATTCTGCGATGAATGTCTGCAGCCACGCAGGGAGCTGGCAAGCAGCTCTGTCGCTTCTAGCTGAGATTCGGCACCGGCACCTGGAGCCGGACCTGATCTCCTTCAACTCTGCCATCGCTGCCTGTGGCACCACAGCTCACTGGCAAGTGGCAGTGTGCTTGATGACTGAGATTCGAGAAAGCCGGCTGCATGCCGATGAGGTCTCATACAACACGTTGACACTGGTCTGCGCAGCCCGAGGGGGCAAGGGAGGACAGTGGCACATGGCTTTGTTTCTCTTGGTTTTGATGGAAAGCCGGAGAATCGTGGTCAAGAAGAAGACCTTCGAATCCGTCATTGATGCCTGCATTTGGGCGGGGCAGCGGGCAATGGCGCTACTCCTGACGGACGATTTGGAGACCAAAGCGAGACACCTGTTGACAAAGGGGGTGGACAGCATGTCAGAGGGTAGCTCATGCAAGCGCTGAATGTCGAGAGGGGGCGAGTCAGCCTGCATGCTTTCCTACAGCGAGGGAATCCTCCCATGCTGTTGACAAGTTGCGTGTTTGTTTGTGCCTGTGTTTCGTGTCAGGCGCATGCGTCCCTGCCGAAGCCGTGGACAGGTGCCTTTCCCCATACTTGAGGGTGATGCAAACGGAATATGCAAGAATGCAGCTCCGAGTGGTTCTCTGCACATTGCGACTGCAGAGGCTAGCAGGCGTGCCGGGCGACACCGAGCAGGCACGCAGACACAAGCAGGTGGGCTCGGTGCCTCGATCAGCTGTTGAGCCGCCATTTGCCAAATGCTTGAGCGACTGTATATGTTTGTCAAAGCACTCGAGGTATCCTGTCTTGAGAATCCTATACTCCGATAACAAGTGCAGAATGGAGGAAAGGGTGGGGGGATTCCAAATTCCAGCCGTGAGATGGAGGCCATGGCGAAAGAAGAAAGGAAGCCTAACATTATAGCTAACACTGTTAAGATGAGTCGACCGGTGCTGAAGCAAAAAACTAGTGGCAAGGACGTTCTCTGCATTCCTCGGGTCGGAAGTATACAGAAGCAAACCAACGGAACCTGCAGCGACAGCCATGACTTCTCAACCCTCTTCCTACTGCAACGATAAGCTACCCCTTCAGGGACGCGGGATCTGTGTCATAGTGTTGTAGTAACTGCGGCCCATCATTGGTGCCCGACTTGCAACATCCTGAAGCAAGCTTGGCGCGTCCCCGGCCCCGGATCCCATGTAGTTGTCGTCCCGAGTGTGTGGCTTTGAAGGCCTGGACTTCCGACAACACGGTCTTCCAACTGACCTGCAACAGAGCAAAGGCAGCGGCCGCACAGAGCGACACTTGCACCCATTTGCTGCTGCCTGGTGCCAGCGGCAGGGCTTGAGCGAAGAGTACTTAGCAGTGAAGGCCTCAGACGTTGTTCAGGAAATATGCGCTCACGAAAGCGGTCCGTGATGTGCTGAGTTGCGAGTCCGCTGTTTGGCAAGGCTGCTTCCGGAAGCGGGGCTTACGTCCGCAAAAAGCCTTCGGGTCAAGACAAGACGCCTCCAGCTGCTCCGCCCTCCTGCCTGGCGCTCTCTCGACTGCACCATGGCCCGACTAATGGAATGCGGTGACAGCGTCGAACCTGAAGCAGAAGTGCTGATGGAATCAGCCGAACCAGATGCACGAGCCCCACGAGCATCAACACGGACCTGGGCCGTCTCTGCACTACTCCTCGTCGCTCTTGTTGCAGCAGGTCTCCTTTACAACGTCTCCGGGCGCCCCTTCACCTTGAGGGGTGCTCCGGAGCAAGTCCTTGGCTTCAGCGGCGATGGAAGCTTCACTTGTGGGCAAATGCAATGCACACCCGGCTCGATCTGCTGTGGTGGAACCGAGTGCTGCTCTGCCGGCTCACAATGCTGCGGAGGGACCTGTCTTGCCGCTGGCGGGATATGCTGCCGCAATCGCACTGATACACCTCTGCTCTGCACTCCCGGCACACATTGCTGTGGCAAGGAGACAGACACGGCCCAATGTTGTACAACTGGTTGTGCAGATGGTCCTTTCGTGGCGTGCAAGCTTCAAACGTAGGTGACACTGTGGCACTTGCAAAAGAACGAAGTCTGCACTCAATGTAGTGCGTGCTTCTCGCCAGACTTCTGTCAGCTGCCACTCCACTGGCAGCCATACTGTTTCTAAAGTTTGTATTCTGAGCATAGGTCATAGTAAGATGGTCCTACTACAGCAATAATTCATTGACCACTGGGCTGCCGCTCTTTCCCGCGAACGCCCTGAGAGAGCAGCCTGGGGTACCTGGACTTCCGTCACTTGCGCCTCGAAGTAAAACTTGCACGCGTGGGAAGCAGGGAGCGGCTGACTTGTTTCGGGCCGTGGCCGCCTTTTTGGTGAGGCCTTGCCCAGCTCACTTCGAAACGTCAATTTGCATGACACTCAGAGAATGAGGCATGCTATGGCACATGCTTGCTCACCTCCTGGTCCTAGTCGGTTTTTCAGAACAGCCCGTATATGGTACGGAAATCTGCAGCACGCAGGGAGACCACATTCCCCTGATTGGAAGTGGAATTGCTGCTGTGTGTGCTTTGCTGCTGCTGCTGCTGCCAGTAACTGAGGCATGTAGGCCGCAACTTTGTCGGACGACATTACCAGCAACTTTTTGAGGCACAGGGCGCGTTTCAGAATTTCAGAGATCGGAGCGGTGAGGGAACCCCGCCATTTTTCTTGCGCACATCCCGTGTGCTTGTCTCCGGCAGGCATTGTTGTGCCCGCTCGAGGGGCTGAACGTCTCGCTGGCACACTCAGCCTTTGCAGCAGTACAGCTGCAGCTGTGATGCTTTCCCTGAGCCGAACCAAAATGCCTTGCATCGATATCTGCAAACTTGCGTGGGGCCTGCAGATTCTGTATGCTTCTGTGCTCTCGGGTTTAGAGGCCTTGCCATCTTTGGCTCGACGTGATGCTTGAGCGAGACTTCATGCAAGTCACAAATCTTAGCCTGCGCCCTAGAATTGAAGGGAGCCTCTGCCCGGACGCAAGAACGCCAACTAAGCCTGAGGCTCAACTTTGGAGATCTTTGTTGGAGAGGATTCGACACTACTGCACTCTGCGAAAATCTCAGCACTGTCACTCTCAATCTTGTCAGTTTTTGGCAGGAGCATGTGCCAAAAGATCGGACTGCCCATCTTCAAGAGGGACAGGTGTCGGGCACAGCACGCATGACGGACGGATGCCACAAAGTGATTTCTTCGAGACCAATCCTGCGGCTGATGGCGACGTGTTGTGTTTTTGAATGGTCGCTAGCATGCTGAGCTGGGAGGTGCTAACTTTTGCCAAGAGAGACGGTCCCGGGCACCTTGGCTTAATAAGAGGGGCGAGGAGCGCAGCCGGCGCAGCTTTTCAATCGGCTTCACATCTTGGTGCGAAGCATTGCTGTGTAGTGCAGGCTCCAGATAGCAATTCCGCCAGAGACTTGTTCGTTGTTTTTTCAGTACATAAATCGCTGGGAAACAACCAAAAGCTCCATACCCTGCACAAGCATGTCGAGACTGTCCACACCATGCCGCTTCGGAGAACGAAACGAGCTGACCAAGTTAGCACACCTGCGAACGGTGTATGTGAGAACCTGCTCTGCCAATCAGACCATATTCCTTCAACGGCCAAGTGTTAGATCTTTAGGATGTGTCGAACCGTTGACCCTTCATAGCTGTCCGGCCTGAGATCCTACTTCGGAATCATGACCTGTGCACGACCTTGCAGCCATGCTGAGGTTCCTCCAGCTGCTGTTGTTTCAGGCGGGTCTTGCTGACAGATTCGGACTCTGTGAGCTGGAAGCTCTGGCCCGAGTGACGCAAAGTGCCGAGACTACATTCCACAGGCTGCAAGACCAAGCAACGCGGCAGAGTTCGGACCTAAGCCTGGACATCTTGAGCTGCAGTTTCTCTTTTGGGGTTCTCGCGGTCCAGGCTGTTGGAAACTGTTGCATGCACTGCATGCAGTACTGGAACTTGGAATCGTCATAGGGGCTCTTAGTGTGGCCGTGCCTCTGCGGAATGCAGAAAGAAAGCAGTCTCCACCTGAGATCCGATCAGGCTGCCCGTCTCGATTGCCGCACCAATCTCAGCAGAAGAGAGCCGACGTGTAGATTGCGAAACAACCTCATTTGCACAGTCGGGCCGAGGTAGCTGGCAAAGCACAGCCCCAACCTGAGATCGGCAGCTATCCCACGGGGCAGATTCACCAGGATCGCCGCAGTATGAAGCTGGATTGCGTGCCATTGGTTCGATGCTGCCTGCATGCCGCTGCAAGTCTTCTGACATGTTTAGTAGTTTAGTGCCGGAACACCTCACACGTCACAGCTTGTCGCCCGGAGCGAGCGGGCACTGTAACGAAGCCTTCTGACCGCTGGAGCTGCAAAATGCTGCCCAAGCCACCGCCATGCCACGTGTTCTAACAAACTCTGCAAAGATTCAGTTCACATCCCAGTAACACGCTTCGAAGACCTACATAAACGTTGGGATAGGCTGCCTTGTAAACTGCACCAGAACAGCATGGAGCCAACATGAGACATGCAGTGGGCCGGCAAGCAGTTGAAGCGCTTCTTCCAGCCTAAGCATCTGAGTTGCAGGAAGGTCGCGTCGCTGAGTCAAGATCCGAAGATGGAGAGCTAGAGAGTGGGAAAAGAGGATAGGGAGGGTCACGTAGGCTGGCTGATTGCCGCATTGCCCGACCCGGCGCCTTTCTTCAATTCCTTTGCTCCCAGGCCGGCTGATGAATCTCCTCGCCGCCCGACGGCCGAGGTCCCTCGCGTGAGTGCCACCCCTGCCCGCCTCATCGATTCGCCTTTTGCAGAGGCTCATCCACAGGAGTCTCGAACAAAGGGCCAGCTGAAAGAAGAGGCCTGCTTCAGCCATCGGATTTCTGCAACTATTGCAGCCAGCAGTCTAAGAAAGGCAGTGAGATTGAAAAGCCAACTTGACGCCTTGACTGCGGGACTGGAAGTTTCTGCCAGTCGGCTGCACCTCTATAACGCTGAATCGCTGAGGGAACCACCTGCATGAATTGCATGTCCATGGAAGAACCTCAGGTTGTGAATGGGACTTGGGTTCAGCGCTTCATTGATCTGCACCAGCAGCACCTGGAGATTCCTTGATGCATGCTGCATGCCGGGTGACGATCCAGACACGGTCCTCCAACTTCAGAGTCATGACTGCCCCTGTGCCATCCTGTGCCTGTGCTCAGGATTGGCTGTCGACTGGAGGATGGCACCGTAAATGTGCAGGCAGAGGTCAAGCGGCTGTACCGCTTCGGCACTCTACAAGGGTCTTGGTTTCTTGTCTAGGCTTTCCTGTGTTTCTTTTGTTTGGGTTATGGCTTCTGTACGTTTCTGTCATAGAGATCTCGGAAAATGCATTCATTGCTTATCTAGCTGACATACAGGTAGTATTTCATTGCCTTCCTGGTAGTGCAAGCCGAGCACCCGAGGCAACACGTTTTGGCCCACTCCAAAGTTGTGGCGGCGCTGGACACTCCGGGGTTGTACCGGGGACGGACTGGCCATTTAGGCCCTTTGACAACTCGCGCACTCACACAAGCATAGATTAGAGACTTCCATCGGGCACAGGGCCGCCAGCGCGCCGGACGGACGTTTTCAGCTCGAGCTACTCCACTAAAAGTGCGATCTCAGCTGATCTGGTTATTCATTGTCATGCAGCATGTCGGCTGAAGAATCTTGTAGCTTTTCTTGCAAAGTTTGTGTGAGTTCCGTTGAGATGCACTTTAGGCTTAGATGATGCTACTTTGCTGCACATCAGTGTGACTGTCATATGAGTAGGGCTGTCGATGTTGGACCGCAGCATTGGTGCTTGTCGCAGAACAGGACATGGATAGAACCACGAAATCCGCGCATCGTTCATTGGATGCGCTCTGGTCTAAGGACAGTGATGAGGCAGTGGCAGCCGAGACTCGCATCAACTACGTGGGTTTTCAATGTACCATAAGGGTATATAAGGGTCAAGTATTTCGTTGAACGAGCAGCACGAGTTGCAAAGTGCAGCAGAAAGTTGGCAGGGCGTGAATGGTCACCAGGTGAGACAAGGCCAAGCAGCGACTCTTGGTCAGCAGTTGGAGGCCTTGCGCAGCCTGACCGCGTACTGTATTTGCAACAGTGCGATCATAGTCCTGAATCTGAGGAAAGGTTCCGAAGAGGCTGCCGCCGTGCCGTGCATGTGTTTTGCTTTCGCAAGTCTTTTTCGACCAATGGTGCATGTGTGCCCTCTGTGCTTGCTGAATGGTGCTATACATCTCAAAACAGACGAGCCTGTGGACACATGCGTGTACACATACAAACACAGGGAAACACGCTCGCTTTACACCAATTCGTGTCGAAGTCATGTTGCCGTGGCTGTCCACCATGCGCAGGATCACGACGACCTGGAGCGCTCGTATGATGCTTTTGACACTTTCCACGCGGCAGGCAAATAAACCCGGACTCAGCCCAGTAACCCAGGACTGCAAACTGTTTTCGGGCTCCCCTCTTTGCAGTGCAGCACCTGGTGTGATCTTGTGCTGCAGGGATTAAATATACATGTCAAGGTAAGTACGGGTACAGAAGCCATATGCAGTTTCCCGCGCGAAGGTGGCTCGTTTCAGCCGCCTTCGCGCCAAACGAATCAGGCACCGGTCTCGTCACGGCATACCAAGTCACAGCGAGGATCTGATCGGATTTTAGCGTAAGGACTGTACACTGTAGAGAAGTTACCTGGACAACTGAACTGGCCTGTTCGCAAATTCTGAAAAGCAACCAATTGCAGGCCGAGAAGTCTGGACGTGCGCAGGCAGTAGACTCAGCAGACTCCGCAACAGCAGCACACGCGGCAGCGGCGCGCAAAGCGGAAGAAGAACGCTGGGCCAGAGAGGCCGAGGAAGCGGCGCGCAAAGCAGAAGAAGAACGATTGTCCAGAGAGGCAGAGGAAGCAGCGCGGAAAGCAGAAGAAGAACGCTTGGCCA